CCTTCCATAAGGGACCAAGCCTGGCCAACTGGGTCCCCCAGCCTGTCCCCCATGAGGCACTGGTCCCTGGAGGATCCTGCTTGTCCACCCCTCCCTTCTGCTCATTTGGGCTCCCAAATATAGCGGCCATGGCCACAGCCGGCCAGGACACCACAGCCCCAAGCGTCAGCCCTGGGCCGGGATCAGAGGGGCAGGAGCTGATTATAGGTCCCTGGGCCAAACCCCGGGCTTGCCTGCCAGCCCACTGGGCCCTGCCACCCCCACCCCCAGAACCACAAGGTTGGAGCATCTGGTCCCCGTCAGCACAGTGGGCAGAGGGAGGGGCCTGAGGGCTGTGTTTGGCTTGCTGAGGACAGAGTTGTCTGTGTGTGGCGTGGGGGCGGCACGGACGGGCTGCGACTCGGGGCAGTGACGGTCCCCTGAGCCAGCATCGCGGTGCCCCTCCAGTAGCCGTGGTACAGATGAGGAAGCTGAGGCCAGGAGGAGCCAGGCCCAGCCTGGAGAGGCCGTGGGGAGCCTCTGCCTCCCCCTTGGCCACTCCTTCCAGTCTTTCACGTCCTGGGCCGCGCCTCCGGGAAGCAGGCCACATCCTGTTGGTGGCAGAGCGGCCCTGCTGGGAAGTCCTCCTTGGAGTCAGACTCGTGCCCAGAGCTGCGGGAAATGGGCAGACATTGCTCTGTTCTGGGCCCTCGTGGCTGCCACGTGCCACCTTAGCCAGAGTTGGGGCCTGGGCCCCCATCCGTGCAGCTGGCAGGGACTGGGGCCCCCCGCGGGGTCTGTGTTTATGGCACCCAGCGCCGGGTGGTGGGTTCCCGTCTATGCGGATACACACGTGTGCCCTGGGGGGTGACCGGCAGCCCATGGACCTGCCGGCGCGCCTGCTCGTGCCCAGACGGGTCCTCAGGACCTGCTGCACAGCAACATTTGACCTACTTCTAAGGCTCTGGGTCTGGCCCAGGCCGCGTTCTCGACTCCTCCGGGAAGTGTGGGCCTGCATCCCAGCCCGGAGGCCGTGGGCCAGGAGGGGCGGTCCGGGGCGGGCCAGGGCGGCCTGCAGAGCCTGCGGCCAGGGGGACAAGGGCACGTGGGGAGCCAGACCCTCCTTCCCTGCGCTGCCTCCTGGGCCCAAGGGACAGCCAGACCTCAGCCGTCCCTCCCTTGCCTCATGCCTCCACGTGGCCACCTATCCGAACTCCCCAAGTTGGGCCTGATGGGAGGAGGGACGTTCCTCATGCCCCTCTGAACGTTACCAGGAGGATCTGCCGAGCTCTCACCCCTGCCATTTGCCAAAGCTTTGCCCCTCCAGCCCACCCCGCCCTTGTCGGCCGAGCAGCGGGCGGTGCCAGTCTGGGAAGCCAGCAGCCCCTGTCCTGGTCTTGGGTCTGAGGTCTGGGGTTTGGCCTCGGCATTCTGGGATGGGGAGTCTGGGTCTCCTGAGTGGGCTCTGGTCCTGGGTTCTGGTTCTGAGCTTGGGGTTCAGATCCTGAGACTTGTGTCCTGGTGTCTGGGTTTGGGGTTTCGGCTTCCAGGTCTGGAGGAGAGGTAGGGATCCTGGGTTCTGGGGTTTGGGTTCAGGATCCAAAGGCCCGTTCCTATCTCTTCCACGCCCCCTGCTGGCCAGCCATCATGGTTGTCTCACTGCCCACGCCAGGGGGTCCCCTGTACCCCTTCCCCCTGTTGAGAGGACTTCCAACCAACAGATAGGAATCGCAGGCTTGAGTTGAGGTAGTGGCAGGGGGGCTTACGGGCAGCCACTGGCCGCACTGCTGACCCAGGGTGCCCCCTGTCCTCACCGGAGACTGCGTCAGTGAGCCAATCCCCTTTCTCCCTGTCACCCCGTACTCCTCTCCATGGATGGGTTTGGCAAGGGGGTCCTAGGTCTCCTGTGGGAAGTGGGTAAGTTGACATGTTTGGAACTTTTGCTCATCCAACATGTATCGAGTGCCTACTGTACACTGGGTTCTGTTCTAGACTTGGGGATACAGAGCTGTGGAAGAATAAAAATTCCTCCTGTGCCAGCTGGTACTCTGGGGGGTGGGGGGATACACATAAGAAACAGGAGGACAGAGAAACAAGCCCATTTCAGGGTGTGCAAGGGTGAGGAGTCAGGGTGAGAGACAGGGCAGAGGTCCAGGGTAGTCTGAGGAGGCTTCTTGGAGGAGGTGACATCCCTCTGTGACCAATGGGTGACCTGCAGAGAGCCCGGGCAGGGGGAGGACACAGCCTGTGCAAGGCAGGGAGGCTGGACAGAACCGGACGGAGGCCAGTGTGGCCCTGGGGTCTCCTGCCTCCATTCACAGACCCCTCCGAGGTTGGGCCCCCATCTTCTGCAGCATTCCCCTTGGCCGTGTAGGGAGGGGGACGTCAGGTGGGTACCCCTGGACAGGCTCTAAAATGTGGCACGTGTGAGCCTGCATCAGATAGAGCCACCACCTGGATCCAGGATCTGGAAGAGCCCAGGGCGTGGGACGCAGGCCTCTGCCCAAGCCCCTCGGCTCTCTAGGACCCGCAGAGCCCGCTGGGATCACGCCTGCTGGGTTGCTGTTCCTGCAGGACGTGGAGCTCAGGCTGGGACCTGGGAGAGACGAGAAACAGGCCTCGGCGTGGCCTGTCCTGCCCACCCCCTGCTTCGCCCGGGGCCTCAACAGCTAATCCGGCTGGCAGCCCCGGGGGCCCTGGGGCTGCTCGGGCTGGGTGGGCTGGCGTTACTTAGGGTTCGAGAGCGGTCCTGCGGGGGAGCCCTGGGCCGCTGCTGCTCCCAGGGGCCAGCGCTCAGGCAGAGGCCCAGCCCAGCTTCCCTCCGAGCCCTGGATGGGTTGGGAATGGGGGGTGGAGGATGGCTCTCTGAACTGTGTCCCCCCTGCCGGACCTCATCTTCCCTGTGTGTAAAAGAAAGACAGCAAGACACCGCATCCCCAACCTGTTGACGGGCAGAGGAAGGTGGCGCTGGCTGGCCGCCGAGCCTGCCCACCCCGCAGCACGAGCTGAGGCCCAGGAGGCCCCTGTCACTCGCCCACCGCTGTTCAAGCTGATGTTGGGTGGTTTCCAAGGGGTGGCAGCTGTGTGTGAACAAAACAAGATGGGGAGTCTGGGTGGCTCTGCCCTGGGCCTCAGTTTCCCCAGGGTGAATGAAAGGGTTTGTGTGGGGGGGGTCTCGCTGGCTGTGCCCGTGGGTGGCTGGAGCCGCCGTGGGACACCCAGCTGCCCCAAGGGTCGGCAGGCCTGGGCCGTGGCACGGGCACTCCGTGTGTCCCCCTCCGGCTGTCATCTCCTCTTGTGGTATTTCTGGCTCGTCTCTGCGGACCCTTCCCCACCCCTTTCTTTCTCAATACTCTTGCCAAACATCTGGAAGAAAAGTGAAAAACTTGCCTCCCCCCAGCACCGGATGTTGTCAGATTTCCTGCTGCGGGGTGTTCTGCCCTCCAGATGAGGGGAGGGATGTCCCGTGTCCCTGCTTGCAGGGACCCTGGTCCCCTCCCTGGACTGCCGCTCCCCTCGCCATGAGGCTGAGTGACAGGATGAGACACCCGGGCCCAGCAGGTAGAGGCCAGGTGGATCCTCGCCTCCGGCTCCAGTTGCAGCTCCGCACGCGGCACATTCCCAGGTGTCTGGGGGTTGGCGGGGGCTGGTGAGGACTGCCTCTGAAGTTTCTATCAAAGGCTTCAGGCACTTAAAAAATAACAAGGAACACCTCCTTCCCACCCCCCGCCCCAGACGCTGGGTAAGGAATGGAGCCCAATGTGTTTGCAAGATGTCCTCCCTCTCAGAGCTCTGTGCCTGGAAGGGCCTCATGCCGCCTCAGCCTTCCCTGCTCCCCCCACCTCCCCAGATGGTGGCCCAGCCAGGCTGCACTCTGTCACTGTCTTCTGCTGAGGTCTGGGCACTCCAGGGTGCACCGGAGGTAGGAACTAGGCTGAGCGTCCTGAGCTGGGCACCTGGGGGCAAACCACACAGCCCCCTGGTGTCCCCAGAGAGGCGGACCATCCCAGGGCCCTCAGCCCCTTGCAAGTGAAGACTGGCAGAGGGAAACATGGGGCGCTGGGAGCAGCATCTGAGAGACCTTCCTGGAAGAGGGAGCACGAGGGTAGAGCCTTGAATGTACCAAGCAGAGGAGGGGCAAGGCACTCTGGGTAGAGGGCACAGTGTGCATGAGGGCCTGGCGGGACGCAGACCCCGAGGAGTGTGGGGAATGTGGGCCAAGGGGGCTGCTGAAGAGAAGCAGTAGGGAGTGAGGGGGAAACCCCAAACTGGCCTCCGCTGTTGAACTGGGCTGGACCGCTGCCTTTGAGGGTGAGGCGCCCACTCCATTGCCTCTTGGGGTGTTCTTGGGGGCCCTCGGGCTCAAGGCTGGGGCTGAAGCTGCCTGATCGCCATGACACACACTGACACAGAGACACCCGGACACACACACACAGGGCTGACACGCAGAGCCAGGCGCCACCCCCGCCCCCACAGATGCGGCTGTGGCGCACATGGACCCCCAGAGAACACACGCTGATACACGCACCCTCCTATCATAGCCACACGGAGCCCTCGCGCATACAAGCAGCCAGACACACAGAGACCACGCACACGCACGGGCACACGCGCACAACCCCTCCCCCCAGCATAGACGCAGACGGAAGCCTGGGAGTTCAATGCACAGATGGGAAGTTTCACTCCAGAGGTGCCTCAGGTGATCCAAGTCCTTCTGCCCCCAACACAACGCACACCGGTTCCGGCCTTTGGTACCTGTTGGGTGCGTTGACCTACTGAGGAACAGCAGGGCCCTGTGCATGTGCATTTGAGGGTGTGCTTGCTGCTGAGCAGTGGCCTCTGTGCTCCCCTCCCCCTCCCCCTCCTCAACAGGTGATTGGGAGGAAGGGACAGCCCTCCCTCTCCCCCACCCATTCCTGAGCCTGAACAATGCCCTCCCCAGGCCCCAAAATAGCCCCTGAGCCTGGCCAATGCCCTTTTATGGCCCTGTCCCTATTGTGCACTATGGGGGTGGGGCTGGGGGCAAGAGGTGTCCAGGATAAAGGCCGAGGTCCCGAGGCTCACCTACCCTGCTCTCTGCTTCCTTCTCTCCACCTCTTTTTCTGTGCTTACCGCTCCCATGGCCCCCAAAAAGCCAGATCCCAAGAAGGAAGAGCCCAAGCCAGCCCCAGCTCCTGCCCCCGTCCCCGAGCCTCCCAAGGAGGACGTGTTTGATGCCTCCAAGGTCCAGGTGGGTGCGGGAACTGGGTTCCTGGGGCTGGGCTTCTGCAGGGAGGGCAGGGCGGGTAAGTGGATCCCAGGGTGGACTGACCCGGCGCCAGGCCAGGCCCCAGAAGGGGAGCAGTGAGCTGATGCTGGATGCCTCTGTGCAGGGGCCAGACAAGCCCTGGGGCTTCAGGCCTCAGGAGGCTGTGGCGGAGGGGGGGTAGGCAGACAACAGCAGGGCTCCCTAGGGCTGCTGGAGGGGATCTTTTTTTTCTCTGTAAAGATTTTATTTATTTTCAGAGAGGGGAAGGGGGGGAGAGAGAGAGAGAGAAAGAGAGAGAGAGAGAGAGACATCTATGTGAGAGAGAAACATTGATCGGTTGCCCGTCTTTTGCACGCCCCCAGCTGGGGACCTGGCCCACAACCCAGGCATGTGTCCTGACGGGCAATGGAACTGGCGACCTTGCGGTTCTTAGGCGGTTCACAGGCCAGCCGCTCAATCCACCAGCCAGAGGGCGTCTTTCGCTTGCCCTTCTCCCGGGACCTCACTCACGTCCTTGGGGATTCCTGGCACCACCTGCCCCCAGCCCTGCAGCCAGGCAGGGATCCTCCTTGCCCAGCTGTGGGGTCTCAAGTCCATGCCAAGTTCCCTAGAGAAGACAGGGTGGGGAGTCAGGGAAAGCGAGGCCCCTGCTCAGGCTGGGTCATACTCACCCCAGCCAAGGTGCCTGAGCCCCAGAGCTGGGAGGGCCTTAGCTTCTAGGTGAGGACACTGAGGCACAGGCTGGATAGATTGTGAAGGAAGCTGGTCTTGAGCTGAGACCAGTGGCCCCAGGAGCCCTTCCCCAGCTGTCTAAACTTGGAGGACGAGCCATGACTCCCACCTGTGGCATTTGCATAGCGGCACGCACCCTGCACCCTGCCTGTTCCCTGTTCTTGGCTGGCCCCCAGCCACTGCGGCCTGGCTGCTGGCTGAGGCAGAGCCCTCCCAGCCCCTTGCAGCTCCCACAGGCCCTGCCCGACCTGCAGCCCCTCTGCACAGATCCAACTCCTATTTGAGAGTCCTTCCTGGAGGCCGTTACGTTGTCCCTCAAGACATGGGTTCGAATCCTTTCCCTGCTCCGAGGCTTGGTTTTCTTGGCTGTGGGATGGGGCAGTGGCCCTCCTCGAAGGCTCATATCTAGTGCTCCAGGGAGTTGGCTGCCTGACCTCTGGCCACCTCTCAGGCCTCTGGCTTGTGTCCCACAGCGCCCCCCCCCCCCGAGGGTCCAACCACCCTGGATTCTTGACAGCATTGTCCTGTCTCACTTGATCTGAGATTGGCACACAGTCCCTTCCAAGAGGAGGGACTAGTGAGGCCCCTCATGTGTGCCCCACCCCCTCAGGCTGGCTGGTGAAGGGCAGGAGCCTCGCCAGGAACCCAGGGGACCTAACGTCAGCAGGCTTCCTGGCAGAGGTGCAGCTCTCGGGGGACAGGGAAGACCTCCAGGGCAGGGCGGCAGGGGCAGGGTGTCCCTCTCACTGGTGTGTTAATGGAGGCTGGCAGGGCCCCAAGAGAGCAGAAGCAGGAAGGGTGCCAGTAATGTCCCCCTCTGCCAAGCTCCTTTCTCTCCTACAACCTTGACCTTGGGGCAAGTGACTGTAGTGATAAAAATAGTCCTGGTATCTGATGAGGAGGGGGAGACCAGGAGGAGACCAGGTCCCAGGAGGCCTCCTGACCTCGGGTGGCCCTGAGGTGGCCTCAGCAGCACTGCCCTGGCTCCCTGCCGTGCTGCACGCTGGGGCTGCCCCTCCCTCATGGACAGAGGTGCGCAAGGCCCAGGTGCAGGCAGGCCATGTGAGGGACCACGCCCAGCCTTGAGGGCCCTGTGAGGGCAGGCACATGCACGCACGTGTTTGTAAGGCACATGCATGCACACATGTGCATATCACACGCACCCCCCCTCCTGTTGAGATGAGCCCAGGCCAGTTCTGCCCACTGGGCCCCAGGCGTGGTCGGGGGGCAAAGCCAGTCCGGTCAGATCTGTGGCTTCAGGCACATCTGTCCAGTACCAGAGGCATCAGGTAAACCCCGCCCTGAGCTGCGACTAACGGCACCGGGACTTCCTCCTCACCATTCCCCACCAGGTGTCAGGGTTGGGTGCCCGTCAGACCGAAGGCCTTCAGGGCAGGCAGGTAGGGAGAGGGAAGGAGGCTGTCAAGGTGGGCGGCAGTGGGGGCTGGGATGCTGGATGAAGACAGGCTGGGACCGCGGTGGAGCTGAGGCCTGGGCTGGCCACGAAGTGACCAGGAGGGGGCCTGGCCCTGTCCTCCGAGCCAGGCACTGAGCACGTTTGGGGTCTCCTTTCAGATCGAGTTTACAGCGGAACAGATTGAAGGTGAGTGGGGGTCTTGACCCTTGGGGCTGCAGGGCTGGGCCTGGGGCCCCACTCTGAGAGTCCTGCCAGCAGTGTGGGTGGGTGCGGGGTGCGGGGCGGGGCTCCCGCTGGGCGTGTCCACAGCTCACGCTCTTTCCCGGCAGAGTTCAAGGAAGCCTTCATGCTGTTTGACCGCACGCCCGGCGGTGAGATGAAGATCACGTATGGACAGTGTGGGGACGTCCTGCGGGCACTGGGCCAGAACCCCACACAGGCCGAGGTGCTCCGTGTCCTGGGGAAGCCAAAGCCGGAAGGTTGGTACATCTAACCTGAGAGCTCCCCACTAGCGCCAGTTCCCCAGGGGACCACCAGGGGGCGCTGCCACCTGTGGTGGGACAACGCAGGAACCTACCTGCTGTGCATTGTCCTCCCGTTGCCTGGATGAGGACACTGAGGCTGGTGTCAGGGGATGCTGACAAGGTGACAAGCAGTGTTTCTTTGCTGTCCCCTCTGGCCCCGTGACAATGAACCAGGCCTCCTGGTCAAACGGGACTGACGACAGTGCAGACCAGCCTCAGCGGCCGATGTGAGAGCGGATCAGGGGCTCCCACTGCCCCTTCCTGTCCCCTCGGTATCTCTCTGTGGGTCAGGGCCAGCTTCGCTTGCCACACTGGCCAAAGAGGGTGCAGTTCAAAGGTCCCAGGGACGATTCAAAAGTCCCAGGGGAGGCCTCTGTTGGCTCAGCGGTTCCAGACCAATCACAAGGGGCAGGTGGGCGGGGCTTGTAAAAAGATGAAACTGGCGAGGACTGTTTCCCAACGCCGGACCGCCGGACCGAGCGAGCGCCAGTTCTCCCTGAGAACGGCAAAGGCTGATCCTCGGCTGATTGTGAAGTGCCTCGCGCTGGCGGAGCGCTTTGTCGGTGGCAGGCTGGTGCAGAGCGCTCTGGGGACTGTGTGCAGGCGAGGGCTCCGCACGGCGAGGCCCAGGGGAAAGGTCTGCCTGGGCCTCACGACCATTTCTCCTCAGATCTTAACTCTAAGATGATGGACTTCAACACGTTCCTGCCCATGCTCCAGCACATTGCCAAGAGCAAGGACACGGGCACCTTCGAGGACTTCGTGGAGGGACTGCGGGTCTTCGACAAGGAGGGCAATGGCACGGTCATGGGCGCCGAGCTCCGCCACGTTCTGGCCACGCTGGGTGAGGGCAGCCTCCCCCACTCCGCTCCCCCTTGGGGGGTGGGGCCTCCTAGGGGAAACCACACTGCCGCCCACCCCAAGGCCTGTGTCTCATCTGAAATGGAGAGTGACACAGACAAGGTGCATCTATGGCAGGTGACAGAAACATGGGTGGTTTAGAAATGTTGGTGGTGAATAAAGGAAGTTTGTTGGTGTAGTTCACAGAGCCGAAGGGAGATAGGGACAGGCCGGGCTCAGGGTGGGGCTCAGTGGCACGTCCAGAGGATCAGCTCCGTCCTGGGGTTCATGGGCTCGTGGGCAAGATCAAGGGCCCTGTCACCTGAGTGGCCGAGTAGATCACGTGCCTGCCACTCCTTCTCTAGGAGACTTTTTCCTATAGCAAATGTGTATGGAGCACCTACTGTGTGCTCAGACCCGTGCTGGTCCCTGGGTGTGTGTGTGTGGGGGGGGGTGCGGTGGGGGACAGGAACTGCGGCTGGCATTCCAGAGGGGGCCCAGCACAGCTCACACGCAAAAATACAGGGACAGCAGGGCGCCTGACTCGCCAGGGGAGGAGCGGTCCCCTCCCCAGTCACCCCCACCCCTGGTTCCCAGCTCACCCCCCATCCCCAGCCTGTTGTGGATGGAGGAGAGGGTGTGCTGCTGACTTGAACGCCAATGTGGCGCCGTTAGGACAGGCCGAGGCTCGGAGGGGGCACCAGGCCTGTGCCCCAGGCCCTGCCCTTTTTGACCCATCACTGACTCTCCTGGCCTCAGAAAGGGGGGTTATGGTCAAGGCCTAGCGAGCCGCGGTGGCCATGCCAGCACGAGGGGTGGGACTGCTGGGCAGGCAAGCCCGCCATCCCGAGGGGCCCGGTGCGTCCGACCTTTCGCACCGCTGGGCTGTGCTGACTCGGCCTCCGGCCCCGTCAGGTGAGAGGCTGACAGAAGAAGAGGTGGACAAACTGATGGCGGGGCAAGAGGACTCCAACGGCTGCATCAACTATGAAGGTGGGTCCGAGGGCAGGAGGCCTTCGGGGGGCCTGGGACCCTAGGTTCCTGCCCTTGGCCACCCAGGGCTGAACCGCTGCCACTCACTGTCCCCTTCTTTCCAGCGTTCGTGAAGCACATCATGGCCAGCTGAGCCTGTCACCCCAGGTGAGACCCCTGATCCCTCCCAAATTGCAGCCACCTCGGCTAACTCCGCCTTGCTGTCCCTCTAGCCCATGCCTCTGTCATCCAAACCCCTCTTCCCACCGCCCTATCTTCACCAACTCCAGTTCTCAGTTGACATCCTGCTGCCTCATTTGACCCCCTTCGCCGTAACCTGTGACCCCTTTGCTCTCAGGGATCCTGGGGAGGCCACATGGGGGACAGCGGGCGATGCTGACATCCGTGGCCTGGAGCGGCGGGGAGGAGGGGGCGCATCGAGGCTCGTGCGGCAGCTCCCTCCGTGCACCCCTGCAGACCTGTCTGTGTGGCTGTCACCTCCCACCCCGTCAGGCTGCATGCGCCTGTGCCTGCCTCTGTCCCCATATCACCCATGGGCCTACGAATAAATGTCTTTTTTCCTTCCCCCTCTCCTCTCCTTTCTTTCTCTCCTCCCTCCTTCTCTCCTTCCTTTCATCTTCTGTCTGCTCTGTGGCCCTTTGGTTGACTTCTGTAAATGCCATGGGCCAGCGAGCCCTGGACAAAACAAAGGCCTCTTGAAATGCTGCTCACCTCGTCACAGCTGCCCCGTGGGGCCCGCCAGCCCTGCGAGGCTGGCCCGCAAGACACTGGGTGGGAGCAGGGCCGAAGGTGAAGAGGCCTGGAGGCCCCCCTTGCTCTGCTTGCCCCCTCCCCCCTGAGACGGCAGCCGGGCGGTGGCCCCTCACACAGAGATGCTGCCGGGAGACTGAGAGCACTGTCTGAGCCGTCTCATCCCACAACCAGCAACTGGGGCCCGTGGGGCCTTGGCCCAGAGCCACCGCCGACACAGGTGGCAGAAGTGAGGCCCAGAGCAGAGAAGGGCCTTGCCTGAGTCAGAGTGGGAGAGGGTGGCAGGGCAGCGGCTAACTTTGTCCCACCTGTCAGAGCCAAAGACGTGTTAGACGCCTGCCTGACTCAGATGGGGAAACGGAGGCACTTCCGCCTGAGCTGTGGCTCTAGGCCAGAGGAGAAGGCCTTCCTGGGGCAGCACCCAGTGTCTACCAGTGAGTTCCCCAGCCCTGGGCTTCTCAGCAGAAGACAAGCATGCAGCCCCCAGGTGTGCGGCGGCGCTTGAGATAGAGGCTGAGGAGGAACCCAGAGTCAGGAAGAGGCTGAACAGTCAGTGCGTGTGTGTGTGTGTGTGTGTGTGTGTGTGTGTGTGTGTGTGAGGGGGTGTGCGTGTGAGTGAGAGTTGGGAGGTGTTGACATGTTAAATAACGAGGCTAGTGATTATCTGAGAAGGTAATAGTTGGGTAAAGATTTAACCAAGAAGATGTAATATCCAGAATATATAAAGAATTCCTGCCCAGACTGGTGTGGCTCAGTGGGTTGGGTGTCGTCCTGCGAACTGAAAGGTCACTGGTTTGACTTCCGGTCAGGGCAGATGCCTGGGTTGCAGGCCGGGTCCCCGGTTGGGGGTGTGAGAGGCAACCGATCGATGTTTCTCTTGCACATCGATGTTTCTTTCCCTCTCTCTCTCCCTTCCCCTCTCTCTAAAAATAAATAAATAAAATCTTAAAAAATTCCTACAATTCAACAACAACAAAATGAACAACGCGATGAAAATATAGGCCAAGGATTGGAATAGACATTCTCCAAAGAAGATACACAAGTAGCCAATATGCCCATGGAATGATGCTTAACGACACTAATCGTTAAGAAAATGCAAATTAAAACTATAATGAGATAATGCGTCATGCCCATTAGGATGATTATTATCCAAAAAAACCAAAACAAAACAGAAAACAGCAAGTGTTGACCATAATGGAGAGAAATTGGGCCCCTTGGGCACTGCTGCGAGGCGGCGCAGCTGCTATGGAAGCTGCTGGCGTGGAGCACCACACAAAACTAAAAAAGTAATTACCATATGACCCAGCAATTCCATTTCTAAGCACAAACCCAAGAGAACTGAAGGCAGGGACTGGAAGAGATGTTCGCACACCCATGTTCGCAGCAGCATTACCCACAGTAGCCAAAAGGCATAAACGGCCCAGGCGCCCATCAACAGAAGAATGGGTGGACAAAATGTGGTGTATACATATAATGGAATAGCATTCGGCTTTGAAGAGGAAGAGAATCCCGATGCATGCTACAACACGGATAAACGTCGAGGGTATTGCGCTAAGTGAAATAGGCCAGCCGCAGAAGGACACATGTTCTGTGGGATTCCACTTACACGAGGTACCTGGAGTAGTTAAACTCACAGAGACAGGAAGTAGAATGGTGGTTGCCAGGGGCTGGGGAGAGGGGGAGTGGGGAGTTTTGCTACAGAAAAAGGCAAACAAGAACGAGAGGAGAGACGGAATGTCTTGGGCTGGGCATCCCGAGCAGCAGAGCTGAGACAAAGACCTGAATGCGAGCAGTGTCCGTGGAGGCGACCATGCCGGGAAGCGTGGGAGCGTGGCTGGGAAGGGGCTGCGGTCCTGCGGGTGCCGGGGAGCGAATGGCTCTGTGGGCAGTTGGGGCTCAGCCTCCCTGGGGCCCCCTAGGAGATGGTGGAGTTGTCCCACCAATGGACGAGGCGACCGGACCATTGATTCCTGGACCCCCATCGGCACAGGGCGGGCAGGGCCGCGGGAAGGCTGGACCTCAGCATTGTCTCTGGGGAGCTGCAGGGGCCGCCCAGGGAGGAGGGCACAACGGTCCTGAGGTGGGAGCGGGAGGTGACGAGGGGCCCGTGGGTCTCGGGAAGCGCTTCGCTGTGTGTTCTGGGAGATGGTTTCTTGGCATCTCTGGGGCTGCTGGGTGGAGAGCGGGCTGGGGACACTAGCAGAGGCCAGGCGGTGGGCGGGGCGGGGGGTGGCCAGGAGAGGAGCAGCTGCATCTCGGCCCCGTGGAGATGGAAGGCAGCGGTCTGATCTCGGTCATTGCAGACAGCATTCTCAGCGACATCTCAGGCAGATTTTGAGTTCCTTTTCCAGATGAAGTCCACTCCAGCCTGAGATGCGGTTTAGGGGCAGGAGGGGCCTGGTCGACCCTCTCACGCTGCCTCATCTGGTTGGCCCGTGGCGCAGGGAACAGAGGCACCTGCGGCCTCACGGTGGTGGCTCAGCTGGTGGCGGTGCCTCCATGTGGACGTATGACCTTGCTGGGCTCTGGTTAGCCTCCCTGGCCAATTAGTGCCTGAGGACCCCTGCAGAGAGAGCAGGACCCCCCACTTTGGCCCTAATCAAGACAGGGAACCACCTGATGTGGCCAATGCCCTCTGCGTAGCCCCCAGCTCCTGTCTGTCCCAGCCACCTCGCTCCCGGACCCCCAGCCCAGAACGGCCATGCTCCCCTTCAAAAGTCCCCAGGCACCGCAGGGGACTGGGTGGTCCCAGGCTTTTTATTCCAGGGGTGTCCTGGGCTTGAGTCCTGCAGGCAGGAGTCGCCCCTGTTCTCAGTCATCCCCAGGTCAGAGAGAGCGGGGCACAGGGGCCGGGGCGGGGGACTCGGCTGCTGGAGCAAGTACCCTCCTCCCTCAGCATCCCTCCACCTGCCTCGGCTGGCGGGGTGTGCGTATTTCTTTGTGTTCCTGTGTGTTTGAATGTGCCCATGACCACAGAGTGCCTGTGAGTGTGAGCGCCGTGTGTGTACAGCTGTGTCTGCATGTGCCTGTCTGTGCTACCACGTGTGTGTTATCTCCGCGTGTGTCTGTGTCTGTGCGTGTGCCTGAGTGTGTACGTGCTGGGGACTCTGCCGAGTCAGCGCTGGTGCTGAGCGGGCGGCGCTGCCAGCCAGCCTGTGGCCTCCCCACAGTTGCGTAAACACTGGTCCCAGCTCCCCCCTCAAGCAGGGTGGTCCGGCTTGTGGCCCCGTGGGCTGGCGGAGAGCGATGGGAGGGGTCAAGGGGTTTGCCCCCCCTGTCAGCCTGGTCCCCTCCATACCTAAAGTGCCATGTCACGTGTCCCACGAAGTGGGGGTTGTTCTGGGGTCTCTCTGTGTCTCACTTTGCCCGTCTGGCCTGAGGCCTGACCTCCAAGGTCTCTCTAAGGTTGCAGGAGCATTCGCCTCTGCAGTCCTGGGCTAGCCTGAACCAGAAGGTCCGTGGGGCAGCCAGGGGGCTGAGGATCAGGCACCAGAGTTCAGCTTCAGGACCCCAGAGCCAACAGTCCCTCCTCTGCTCTGATGTCCCCGCACGGATGCCCATGGCTCTTGGCAGCCTGCCACACCCTGCATCCTCTGTCCGGCCACCATCCACAGGGATACTGGGTCACCACTGGGACACGGGTCACGTGGCACTGTGTGGGACCCAGGAAGGCCGCACATTCAGGCTGAGGTGAAGGCAGGCAGGGCCTTGAGGAAATCAAGTATTGGAGGAAAGTCGTATCAGGTCACCAGAAAGAAAGAAATCAGACTGCGGGGAAGAGAAATGGGGCTCTAGGGCCCAGATTCCTAGCGCTCAGCTGCCGGGTGGTGGGCAGAAAGCTGATAACGATCTTAAAAGAAATCAGGGGTTAGAACAGAAGGGTCCAAGCAATGGCGTGTATGAAATCAGAGGGGCGTGGAGATGAGGTGGGAGGGGAGGAGGAGGAGCAGAAGAAACTGGGACACAGTGCGACAGGCGGACCTCCTGCCTGTTGCATAAGTGGGTGCTGAGGGTGCCAGGCCGGAGTTGCCAGGCTCTGCTGTTGGTCCTGAGCCCTTGGGCAGTGGGGAAGGCTGCGGGGAGGGGGCAAAGATGAGCCTTCCCCGGGGAGGGGGCCAGTCACAGCCTGGGTCACGCTGACCCGGTCACCCCCAGATCGGGACAGCCCCAGCAGCAGGAAAACCCCAGACCCTGAACCCACTGACCCAGCTCAGAAGTAGCTCCCTGGGGTTCTCCCAAGTCCCTTCCAACAAGCCCCAGGCCTGTCCTCACCCAAGTTTGGGGGTTATTTGTTCCCACCCTCCCAAAGCCACACAATCCTGGTTTGCCCAGATGCTGACAGAGCACAGCTGGAATGTGGAGTGCGTGTGAGGGTGTGCGCGAGGCTCCCCAGGGCCGGCCGCCCCACGGCCCCTGCGGTCCCGGCAGCCAGGGCCCTCGAATGGGCAGGGCCTAGAGGGTCAGGTCTGGGAAGGGCCCCCGCCTGGCCCCTCCTCCCCAGCCTGGCTGAGGAGGCCCGAGATTCCACCATTTTTTCCCAATCTTTTGTTCCCTTCTCTGGCCTCTGAAGCCACCGAGGCCTCGGTGAGAAGGGCTGCGTCGGCGGGTTTTCTAGAGGGTAGGAGATCTGGAAGACTCCGGAACTCCAGAGATGGGAGACAGAGCTCCCTGGAAAGCTTCAGGTCTTGGCCGACTTTCTGATTTTTATACTGTGGTCCAGCCGAACACGGTCACCGCTTTTCCTCCATAACTGGTGTGCTCCGGGTCTGGAGGCCTCTGTTTTCTCTCTCCTCCTCACCTCTCTCATCTCTCTC